GAAGACTTCCTGTCTTCTGCGGTACTGGGGATTGAACCCAGGGCCTTGCACTTGCTAGGCAGGTGCTCTGCCACTGAACCACACCCCAACCTAGGTGCTGCTTTCACACACCTAAGCTGTGACATTCTCAGATTAGGTATGGTGCTACTTGTCATAGATTGTCACCTTTCCTCCTCTCAACAGAAATCTAAAATCAGAGCCATTTATATTTTTATTCTCATGTCACACATGAGGTAATGAAGGTTGAAGAGACAAGTCATTTACCCAAGGTCAGACGACTTGGAAGAGGCTAATTCAGTCCTGGATCAGCTTGGCTGGACAGCATAAGTCTTTTTTTTTTTTTCTTTAAATCTTGAGATGAGGGCTTGCAGTATAGCTCGACCTGGCCTCAAACTCTTGATCTTCCTGCCTCCTGAGTGCTGGGTTAACAGGTGAGCGCCACCATGTTTGACTGAGTGTAAATTCTTAAGAACATCTTACATAGATTCAAGTCTTTTGGGGAAAGCTTGCTTTCATTCTTATTGGTGTAACAGAGAATTCAGAAAGGGTGAGACACAGTGACCACTGGATACACTGGCTATGTATCACCTACCTTTGGCCTCGCCTTCACACTCATAGAAATGAACGTTGACTTGACAGTGGGGATTTGAAGGAGGGCCCAGACACTGACCTACCTAACTCCATTTTGTTCTGACTCCATCCAGTTTCTTTTCCGTCATTCTCCCCTCTGGTTGCCTCAAACCCCAGGAACAACCACCTGATAGATGAGCATCTTATTTTGTTTTGTTTTGGTACAGTCTCACCACATTCAAGGCTGGCCTTGAATTCATGATCCTGGGCCATCACACCCAGCTCCTGATTGATGGGCATGGTGGACAAAGGACCAAGAGCTCCCCACAGGCAACAGACACCTTGGCACCACAAAGCCCTGTGTGGCTGATCCTGAGATAATGGCCTGAGGTAATGATCAACCAGACCATGGCCAGGCCAAGACCACCTGGACTTCTCCCAGGGACTCCCAATCCTTGCCTTTGTTCCTCCATCCTATTTAACACTGAGCAAATAACTCTGCCCTATAAAAGCACTCAGAAGACAGAGCGGAGGTCATCAGACCTCCATGCTTCCCAGCGTGTCCTTTCCTGTGCCCCTACCCCCATTGGCTTTCAAGCTGTTGGGACTCCCTGGAGCTGGGGCTTTCTGCTAACAATGGTGCCAGGAACAACAGCTCCTGACCTGAAGTCCACACACTCACGTTTCTTCTCTGTGCCCAGGTCTGGGATCAGTGCACCAGTGTGGCCCTACCCAACGTAGCCTGCATGTCTCAAGCGCTCCCTCTTGTGGCCATCTGTCCTCCACCCCAGCCTGGGAGGAGGAGAGGACCAGTGCACACAGGATGTGAGGTCATGCCATGACAACCCCCTCTCCCTACCCCACTGCTTTGATCCTGAAAGGTCAGAGCCACGTCTACACACACCTGCACGTACACCAAATTCCTGTGTGGGCTTATTTCTTGTTCCCATTCCTAGGACAACTTATTGGTATAATCTGCGAGGTCACAATCAGAACCCACAAGATGGATGACCTGTCTTCCTGCCCCAATGTCCATCTCCAGCAATACTATCTGCTAACTCTAGATCCGAGCCTGGCTTGCTCCCAGGGTGGAGGCTTGGGGACCCTTCCTCATGGCACACACCCAGGGGCATCAGGCACTGGATACCAAGCATCCAGACCCAAGAAATCAAGTCTCCACCTGCTGATGCCCAGAGGAGCAAGAGAAGCAGGCATTACACATGCTCCCCTACTGTCCACACAACCGACGGCTGTTTTCTAAAAATCAGATCAAAAGGACTTGTTTCCTTAACACACCTCTGGGCCGTCTGTCACGCTGAGAAAATCCCAAAGTCCTCACCGAGTAAGGGCATGCTGGGGGATGCAGCTGCCTGCTTCTTTTCCCCATCCCCATCTGGAAAGCTCCCTGGTGTGCATCCAGTCCCTGCCACTCAACCCTTCAGTCACACCTGGGACACAGCCTTTCTCCTCTTGGGATGCTGTTCCCCACAGCCTGACTCCGCTTGTCCTTTGAGAATCACTCTAAAACCAGCGCCTGCCAGAGCCTCCTCAGCAGCAAAGCTAACTGTGGTGGCCTCCCTCCTCCTCCACACCACTTCCCACAACCTGCATGTCTATTCTCTTGCTATTCTCCCACCTCAGTAAAACATGAAAAGTAAAAAGCTCCAGGGGACTCTGTCTTGTACACTGACACATCCCTAGCACCTGGCACAACCCAGATGTTAGATAAATATTCACAAAGTGAATGAGTAAGTGGATTAGCAACCTAAGCAAGTTAGCTGAGCTCTCTGTGTCTCACTTTCTTCATCTTTAAGAGGGGCTGCTGAGCACAGTGTCAAACACCTGTAGTCCCAGCTACTTAGGAGGCTGAGGTAGGAGGATCGCTTGAACCCAGGAGTTTGAGGACAGCCTGGGCAACACAGAGATACCCTGTCTCAAAAGAAACAAAACAAAAAGGCTAGTGTGAGACTGGTGATCAGGAGGTACCATGGAAAGCTCTCTTGGGGGTGAAGGGAAGGCTTGGACACAAGGGCAGGAGGGACTTCTCTTGGAGAATGAGTCGCAGGTGGCCAGTGGGAGAAGAGGGCACTACTGGCCAGGGCAACATGCAGTACTAATGCCGAGGGCAGGGGTACTGAGGAGTCACCAGTCAGAGTGGCTGGAGAGAGGGCAGGTGAGGGAGCTGAGTGGAGGCTGCAAAGATAGCGGGGCCAGGTCCTGGCTCCCACTGGCCTGAGGATCGTGGTGAGCACTACACCAGAGAGAGACAGCTAATGCTGTCATCTTTTATGGGGACCCTTTGGAATGTACACCTATAAGTAGATGACTTTTTTTTTGCAGTGCTGGGAATCAAACCCAGGGCTTTGTGCATGCTAGGCAAATACCCTACCACTGAGCTACATCCCCAGCAAGTAGGTGACTCTGTTAGGCCACTGAAGTCAGTTCACAAAGGGGAAATTTATAGCAACACCTGGACCAAGCAACTCACAGACCTCCTGCCCACTGTGACACAAAATCAGCCCTCCTGCTCCATGACGAGAGGCCGTTCACATGGTGCCCTCTAAGCCTCTGTCTGAGGTACACAGTGCTAGAGCTGCCAGTCAAACCACAGGCATCATAGGCCTGTGTCTGAGAAGCCCAGGAAGGGAAGAGGAGGGGAGGGCTGTGATGGTGACTAGGGTAGGGTTGGGAAGTCCCCAGCAAACAGACCTACACATGGACATGTGAGCACAGCCACCTGTGCTGGGACCGCTGCCCCCACCTTCTGATGAGAACTGGACCACCACACATGGTGCAGTTATGCACCAGCATGAGGCCTAGCTGTGCTCTGGACACCGAGGGTGTGTGGCGGGGAATTAAACTGCTTTTTGCTGAAGACAATGAGTGAGGGGCCATGGCTAGAGGGAGACTGGGCAGCTTGCTTCTCTTCCCCATCTGGGATATCAGCCAGTCTCTTCCCATCTGCCTATCTAAATGTGGCTGGAGTGCGGCTCGGGGATACAGCACTTGCCCTGCATGGGTAAATCCCTGGGTTCCCTCCCCAGCAATGCCAAAGAAAATAAATAAATAAATAAAATAATCACTGCCAATCCTCTAAGGGCCAGCTCCCCTCAAGGGCCCCGTGCCCTTGCTGAATCCTCCGCACCCTGATTTTCCCATCTCTGACCACCAGTTGCTTTGAGGATTGGTGTACCTCACAGGATAGCTTCCCAGCCTGACTCCGAGGTTAGACTCCAAGCTCATACTGGCAATAACAATGCATGTTTATTGAACACGTGGACGTGCTCAGCACTATGGTAGGCACTGTACATACACGAGGTAGGTTAATATTATTATACCCATTTTTACAGATGGGTAAACTGAGGCACGGGGAAATTAAGTAACTCATCCAAGGTAGCACAGCCAGTCAGTGGCTGGTCTGACCCCAGAGCCCTTGCTTTTAGCCATCACTCTTCAACATCTCATCCACGCTGTGCTATTCACTTCTCTATTTTTACAGACTGTCTCCCTGAGTGCTGGGCACACAGGAAACATTTCTAGGTTGTATCTTTTTTCCCTTTCTGTGGCTACTAGAGCTGATTCCTATTGGGGAAGATGACACCACAGAGCCACTAGGTGGCAGCAGAAAGGCAGACCCAGCCTCTCAAAGGATGGGGAGCAAAGAGCTGATCGTTTGTGTATCAGGTGCAGCTTGCACCAGGCCCTTGAGACACCTTCGCCTTTCATGAACGTCTTTGAAGCAGGTGCTGTTGCCTCCTCACTCTGCAGAGAGGAAAGGGACTAAGGCTGAGAAGCTTTCAAGGTCAGGGAGTTGGAAATGCCAGGACAGAATCCAGAGCTGCCTCTCCCCCAGCCCCGTTTGGTTTTCTCAGATGATCTCAAAGGGTGGGTTCCTCACCCTGTCCTCCCTTCCCATGGAGCGAGTTGGAGGCAGGATGCCCAGAGCACCAGAGCTGGACAGGCTTCAGAGGCCACTGGACCACCACAGAGCTAACCAGCTCTGGCCCTTCATGCACGCGTGGAGGCTGACTGATGCTCGGTGTGCCTGCTTCACCACGGCCACCTCCTGCCCTCCCAGCTGTGGTCCTGGAGGAAGCCACTGGAGATGGTGAAGACTATCTAAAGAGCTCTGCCCGTCCCCCCTTCCAACAACTGTCACCTCACACAAATACAGGTGGACAGGGCAGAGCCTCCGGGTGGCTGGGCAGTGCAATGTGGACTCCAGTGCCACCAGCAGCATAGTGCAGGGGCTCAGGTGGCAGCAAAGGGGCCATCAGGTCTTGAACCCCAGTGTGTGGCGCTGCTCCTGGCTGAGTCCGTGGGGTGCTGGCTTCAGGACTGCCTGGTGTCTCTCTGGCCTTGCTTCCGCCTGCCTACCTGACACGCCTTCTCCCCAGTCCCTCCCGGGCTCATTCAGCCAGATGGGGTCCTCTGAAAATACACAACACCTTGGGTTTATTGGGGGGCGGACATTGCGGACCAGCACAGTAGTGTGTTCCTAGCAGGAGGAGTCATGGCCACGCAGCTCAGCAATCTTGGCACTTCAGGGGACAGCCTGGGCAGGTCCCTTTCCATGTCCCGTTTCCTGCACTTGTCTCTTCCCCCTCCCTGCTCCCCGAGTCTCTCATTCTTTCACCAGCCGGTAGATGTGGTGCTGTGCTCCATGTTCGCTGGCAGACACCTCAAAGACGTACGCGATGCACAGCAAGGTCTCCTGTGTGTCTCTGTTGGTGACCACCTGCAGGAGAGACAAGGGTGTGGTGAAACGAAGGCCCATCCGGGGACCAGGGGAGCCCCCACGTTGGCCCGCAGCCCAGCCTACACACCTGCAGGATGGTGAAGTTCTCCAGCACGCTGTTCATCATGTACTTCTCTGGCAGACGCCTCAGCTTGTGGATGAAGTTGACCATGTACTCGCAAAGCGGGGACCGGTGGATGCGGTACGTGTAGTGGCCGTTCTCGTAGCGAGCATACTCTGTCTGCAGGAGCCAGGGGACAGCAGGGCCTTAGCATCCCATCTCCTCCAGCCCAGGCCCAACTCCACAGAGCTGAGACAGAATGGGTGCCTCAGTCCTGCTGCACAGGAGGGTATGTTGCAAAAGTTCCCTGGGTGCCCTTGTGATGGACTTGCCATGTCTGGACTCTGGTGGCAGTCACAAGAATTCACACATGCGTGCACACACACATACACACACACTACACCTATAACTGGTGTAGTCTAAGCCAGACTAGTGGATGGCATCGATGTCAATCTCTTGGTAGCTAGTATCACCCTCCACTTCTGCAGGATGCTGCCTGGAGGAGTGGGGTACAGGATGCAAGGAATTATGACTGCAGGCAGAGCCTCAATCCACAATTATCTCAGCATTTAAGAGCTTAGTTAATTTTTAAATTTTTCATTATTATTTTTTGGTAGTATGGGATTGAACTCAGGGTCTTGAGCTTGCTAGGCAAGCACTCTAATCACTTGAGCCCTTAAAAAATTTAATTAAAGCCAGGTGCCAGTGGCTTATGCCTGTAATCCTAGCTACTAAGGAGGAAGAGCTCAGGAGGATCGCAGTTCGAAGTCAGCCCTGGCAAATAGTTTGCAAAACCCTATCTTGAAAAAAAAGAAAAACATCACAAAAAAGAGCTGGTGGAGTATCTTAAGGTGTAAGCCCTGAGTTCAAACCCCAGTACCACAAAATAAATAAAAGTAAATAAATAAATAACAAACAGGCACAAGTGGTTCATGCCTGTAATCCTAGCTTCTTAGGAGGCTGAGATCAGGAGAACTAAGGTTCAAGGCCAGCCTGGGCAAATGGTTGGTGAGACCCCATCTCCAAAATGACCAGAGAAAAATGGACTAGAGGTGTGGCTCAAGTGGCAGAGCACTTTGCAAGCACAAAGCCCCGAGTTTAAATCCCAGTTCCACAAAAAACATAAATAAAAAACAAGTTTTTAAAAAACTGCCATGGAGTGGGGGTGGAGCTCAGTAGGCGAGCACATGCTTAGTACTCGTGAGTCCCTCGGGTCAATAATAAATAGAATAAATAGAAATTGCTGCTGCCTGGATTCCACTCCAGAGATGAGGTGGGTGATGTGAGTGGGTCTCGGGGGAAGGGGGCTTGATGTGTTTCAAACCCCCCAGGTGATTCTGAGATGCAGCCAGCATCAGGCCCCCAGGACAGAGGCTGCTCCTGGCAGTGGCTGTTGACATGAGATGATAATGATGGTGGGATTCTCTTAGGTCTGACCCAGGAGGCCAAGTGGTGAGGCCAGGGATGGAGAGAAGCCTGACATTGCGTGGAGGGTTCACGAGCCTCAGGATGACAGGGGTTCTGGGATGGGGCTCTCTGTCCCATCTTGTTACTCTCACTACACAATAGGACCAGAGTGCTCCTGGAGGCTGTGCCATTGGGCAGCTAGGGCAACTTGGTGCTTGTTCAGGGATGAATGGAAGGCTTTACCATTATCTACCAGAAAGCAGGGGTCCTCCAAAATCAGGGTCACTGCTATCCTGTACCACCTTGGGCCAGGACACTTAGAAGAGAGGCAGAAACCACTGCCCAAAAGGAAATAAATTTATTTTCTGGTACTCAAAAAGTGCAAACAGCTGGACGTGGTGGTATAGGACTGTAATCCCAACACTTAGGAAGCTAAGGCAGTAGGACTGCAAGTTCCAGGCCAGCTTGGGCTACACAGTGAGACCATCTCAAAAAAAAAAAAAAAAAATCAGGGCAGGGCACAGTGGCTCATGCCAGAAATCCTAACCACTCAGGAGGCAAGAGTAAGGGATCTTGGTATAAGAACAGCTCTGGGCCAAAGCCAGAGACCCTATCTGAAGAAAAATTAATGCAAAAAGGGATGGTGGCATGGCTCACCTGCCTCCCTAGCAATCATGAGGCCCTGAGTTCAAACCTCAAGTATAGTAAAAATTGAAAAAAAAAAAAAAATAAAATAAAATAAAATCCATCCCCATCCCAAAAAAAAAAAAGTATAGTAAAAATAAATAAATAAATAAACAGGACCACAAACAGTTTTTAGCATTCATGGAATAAAAAGTGAGCAGGACCTGTTCTAACTTGCTTCTTCCCCTGGCAAGCTGCGTGACCATGGGGAAGACCTTTCCTCTCTCTGGGCCCAGCTGTGAAAACAGGGTTAGACTAGGGAGAAAATCCTGGACCCTGTGTGTGGTTCGGCCTTGCTTTAGGAGAGGATAGGAGATGCCTGCAAGGACCACTGGGAGTCCTGGCAGGCAGTTTAGCCATGGCTCCGGAGAGTCGGGCAGGCAATAAGGAGCGTGTGGGATGTGCTTCCTAGATGCACATGGAAGCCACTTGGAGCCCCCTTCCGCCAGGACCATCCTGACAATCCTGCTCAGGAGCACTCCAGTGAGGAGGATATAAAGCCTCCAGCATTGCCCCGCACCTACTGGAGCCTCCTACCTCAACTTTCTCCACCACCTGCTTGCCAAACGAACAGACCTTGGTGGAGCAGGTGATGGTCATGTTCTCGGGGCTCTCATATTGGCTGGAGACCCCGTAGAAGGAGCTGCCTTCATCTTCGATATTGGTGTTGAGGTCCGCCTGCAGGGAGACACGGAAGCTGAGGGTGTGGTGAGGCTTGTTCACAGGGCCCCCCGTTGGAGGGCCAGGACTGAATCGAGGACATGTTCAGGTCACAACGCAGACACTTGGACAAGGAAGAAATCAGGAAGGTGTAAAAAGAATGTGGACAGGGCTAGGGGTAGAGCTCAGTGACAGAGCACTTGTGTAGCAGGCCCCAGCCCCGGTTCCATCCCAGTACCACAGAAACAAAGGAAAGAAAGAGAGGGGAGGGGAGGGGAGGGAAAGAGAACGGAAAGAAGGAAGGGAGGGATGGAAGACGAAGGGAAGGGGAAGGGAGGGAAGGAAAAGGAAGGAAGGAGGGAGGGAGGGAGGAGCGTCAGATGTTGGCCACCACTTTCCACACTCTAGGCTGTTTCCTAAACAACTGAAACTGAGAGAGCTGGGGCCTGTGTGGGTTTCAGGCCACAGCTACCTGCTCAGACATCAACACACCTAACAAGTGGGGTCCCAATTTTGTCTCTAGGCCTTTAGTTTTATAGTCTAAGACTTTGTTCTTATTAAACTGCTGATATGTAAGTCTCTATCAGTCATTTCCACTTTAGTTTGAATGCATTTATCAGAACCTTTCCAGAGTCAATTTTGACAGTGAAAAAACATGAGAACTGAAAGCCAGAAGAGAGTTGGCAGAGAGGATGCTGGGGATTCTGAATCTCATCCTTTGGCCAGCCAGTCAACAGACCCTTTCACAAATGGCTCCAGGGAGGCCTCTCACCCATCTCTATGGCTGGGGCGGCGAAGGGTGGCGGGGGAGTTCTGGGGTTTGAGCTCAGGGCCTTGACCTTGCCAGGAAGGAGCTTTGCCATTGGAGCCATGCCCCCAGCCTTTTTTGCTCTAGTTACTTTTCAAATAGGGTTTTGCATTTATGCCTGGACTAACCACAATCCTCCTATTTACACTTTCCAAAGTAGCTGGGATGACAGGTGCTCGTCACCACGTCCTTCCTGGTGGAGGTGGCATCTCTCAAAATTTTTTTTTTTTTGCCTATGCTGGCCTCAAACCACGACCCTCTTGATGTCTGCCTCCCAAGTAATTAGGATTATGGGCATGAGCCACTGGGCCTGGCTGGGTTCAGCCACTCTTCTTTTTTTTGCAGTGCTGGGGTTTGAACTCAGGGCCTACACCTTGAGCTACTACGCGAGTTCCCCCCACCCCCCTTTTGTGATGGGTTTTTCTGATAGGGTCTCTCAAACTATTTGCCCAGGCTGGCTTTGAACTTCGATCTTCCTGATCTCTGCCTCCTGAGTAGCTAGGATTACAAGCGTGAACCAAGAGCACCCGGCTCAACCACTCTTGATCTTTGTACATCTCTGTCTCAGCACCTAACCCAATCCCCCAGCACCATCTTCCCTCCTTGTTCCTTCTCTTAACTGCTCAGCATTCCCTTCAAAGTGCAAGTCTGACTGCATGATTCCAGGGTCTGAACTGGCTTGCTGAGCCCTTCTCAGCTCCCCACCTGGCTAAAGGGGCCTTTCATCAGCCCTCTTGCTGGCCCCCTGCACCAGACGCTCGCCAGGCCCCAGGCACCCAGAGTATTAAGTGCCAAAGGCCACGTGGCTGACGAGCAACAGAGCCAGGTCTGCAGACTCCAGCTCCAACACTTGTCCCAGCCCCACAGAGAGAGGAAGGCACTGGACGAGCCAGTTCACTGCCTTGGCAACTGTGAAACAGGAACTGTATTTCTGAAGCCCTCGGCCATTTAGGGGCCCATGTCCCCAGAACTTAGGCACCACCTCATCTCACCCCATCTGAGCTGAGGATGCTTATTAAGCCACTCAGAAGAAATGCACAGACTTATTACAAAAGGCTATTCAGGGGACCCTCTCCTCCCACCCACACAGCTAAGACCACTGCCAGTTGGCCTCTGAGCACAGCCTGATGGACGCAGTGGTTGCTTCAGACCATGATGCAGGTTCTTCTGCACAAAGACAAGGGCATCCCCAGGACCCCAGGAAGGTTGGGGCACAGTAGACAGGGTCAGCCAACGCAGTTCTACTTTTGGCCACTAAGGGATGCTCAAATACTATTTTTCTCTCCTTTGGCAAGCCCAAGAGCAAGGCCTTTCTGTAGATTGATAGGGGGTTGTTAATCGTAACATAAAAGAAATATTATGTAGCCACAAAAAATCCTGAGATGGGCCTCCATTCATTACTGTGGATGAATACAAACAGTGAGTGAAGAAAGCAGAATGGAATGGAGGAATATTAGCTTTAAGATGTTTTCATATAGAAATAGAATGGCACACAGTTGGTTCAGTGTGCTCTGTGTTGGCTTTCATGAAGCCATCAGAAGGAAAGAAAAGAATTGCAGCAGCACTGAAGCCAATGGTAAGGTCTCCAGGGGCCTCTGAAACAAACAGCCATGTTTGCTCAACACCCATCCTGGGGCTGGCCTCAGTTTCCCTACCCTGACTCCATGATGATTCGGGAAGATGGAGGCAGGACACTTGTGAATCCTGGCAGAGGCCAAAGGTTTCCTGTGAAAAATAAGGTGAATAGATACCAGAAACTCTGCATTTTGTCCCCTAGTTTCTAAGTTATGAGCTCCTCCTAAGACGCAAAGTTTGTTGCACTGTTTCTGACAGGAGGGTGGGGGATGGTTTGTGTGCTCTTGATATGCTGTGATCAGATCCATACCTGAGAGAAAAAATGCCGGCAGGACATTGGATGTGGGGTGGGGGGTGTTGAGGGATGAGGCTAGGACATCCAATGGTGTTGACCTCAGATTGTAGCCACTGTTATTGAGGGCCTCTGACCAATGCTACAGTCATGAACTCTCTACCACACATCCTACTATACCTTTGTGGTGTCTTTTAAATCAACTCATTTTCTATTCCTTAATTCCATCCTAAGCAATATATCCATGAAAGCAACAATCTCTGTTTTTTCCTACATAAGGGAAAATAATCACATAGCCATCAAAGAAGAAACGTCAATGCAGGTACCACCTAAAAGAACACCACACACCACGCACCACACTGGGGAGACCTGGCACCAAAGAGCCTCCTAGGTTCTTCCACACCCAAAGGCAGCACCACCCCTGCACTGATACTCCAGGAGCATCCCCCTTGTCACCCTGTGCTCTCATGATCTGCCAGATGGAAGCTCCCTAGGAGCAAGAACCAGTCTCCCCAGGTCTTCCCTCCTAGGACAGTGCCTGGCACTCTGAGGCCTTCAGCAAAGGTTGCATGCTGCAGTTCCACCTCTAGCCTCTGAGTGGCACTGCACGAGAGGAGCAAGGTCCCTTGGTGCAGAGGAACCTACTTACCCTGGTTACCTCCAACTCCTTGGCCCCAGCTCTGCCCCATCTCAAATCCTCCAGGTCTTCTGTCATCACCTCCCACTCACTCCCTTGGCCCTCCCAGTCACTTGGTCACTTTTTATCCAGCCCCAGCTCAACTCTGTTAGGAACCAATGGGACAGAGTCTGAGGTACTGTTTCTGGTCTCAATGAAGTTGGTAACTGGGAGCAAAGTAGAGCTAGCAAGCTGTTGGTCAAATGGGGAAGAGGTGTCCCACAGGTGAAGGTCCAAAGTCATTTCAGAACCAGTCCTGTGGACCCAGGAGATGGGGGTTGATGTCACAGGTGACCCAGCTCAGAGCACCTCATCTGGCCCTAGAACCCAGGCCTTACAGTCACAACCCCATTTCCTCCTGCAGCTGCAGCCCAGGCATTTCTCACCCACTCCAAGCACCTCCCAAACCAACTTTGTTTTGGACTTTCTCAGCCCAAGAACAGAGGAAAAGCTGCCCCCCACCCCCCACTTTGACCTGCCCTCTGAATGCCCCGTCTCCCCTTCCCACACCCTATTCATAGCTGTGCGTGAGGGTGGGCAGCTCACAGGCTGTGCCTGGAACAGGTGTGGGGGATCGGGTGACTGACAGATGAGCTGAGACAGCCGCAGCCCGGGTGTGGGGGCTGGAGGGGCTCAGATTCATTGTCATGTGCTGGGATGTGCCTGGGAGAAATGTCAGGGCCCAGAGGAACCAGTGGGTTGGGATGGAAGGAAGGCCTGGGCTACTGTCCTGCCACCTGGCTCAGCTCAGGTCCTGCCCAGCATTTTCAGCGTGTCACAATGTCCAAGAGTCCCCTTTACCCCTCCCCCAAAGACAGCAACCTCTGCTGGTCTCATGAGGCTCAGGGGATGGAGGAAGGGAGACTCAGCTTCTCTATGCCTTGTTCAACCCCACAATATTCATTAGACAGAGCCTGGCCTGAGCAACCCCATGCGTACCTCTCTTGCACACAGAGAGGTACCATCTCCAATGAGGACCTGCCCTAGCAGGCCAGGAACAGGGAGTAGCTTAGACTGCCTGTGGGGCACATGACTGACCCAAAGCCTCACTATTAGCAAACACACTTCCCTTTCCCCCACCACACATGTGCCTTGGCCTCCCTACCCACTCAGGGATGGCTGCCATGGTACCCTGGCCTCTAATATGCCCTCGTCTCTGATTTCACCCATCCTCACCCTGCACAAGCTGTTGGCACTCAGGGAGGGCCTGGCTCTTGGGGCTCAGAAAAGGGGTGGGAGGAGGCAGGGGCAGAGTCTCCCCTTTGCTAAGAGCTCAGAGTCACACCCCTTATGGCCTGCAAGGACAACTGACTTTTCAGAGGGGGAAACAGGTACACAGAAGCCAAGATTCACTCAGGACCCTGCTCTCAGAGGCAGAAACAAGACTTAGAACACCTGTGTCCTGTTGTGGCAGCAGGCCCAACTGCCGCCATCCTGCTTGGCTCTGTCACACCAGGAGGGCTCACTTGTACACATCATGCTCCCTGTAGAGTGGATTCTCCCCCAGATCCCGAGCTCCTGGAAGATAGGGGCCATATTGGCTGTGCACACAGCACATGGTTGAACACCATGTCCACTATGGAATCCGTCTAATCAAACTTCCTCAGTACCAGCTGTCCCCACCTATCTTCTCCCATTAGCCCCTGCCATCGTCCCCTGAGGGAAGG